CCCGCCGCCCCACCTCCGCACCTGCAGCGCCAGCTAATGTCACTGCCGCCGACTGTATGCGTCTCACTCCCTCTAGACTGTGAGCTCCTCGCGGGGCAGGGACGTCTGTGTCGCTCTGTATCCCGGCACCTGGCACAGTGCCTTGCACTTAGGTGCCCAATAAACGTCTGCTCCACTGAAGCCAGGCCCCGGCCTTCTTCTTTTTATTGTTTAATGTATTTTTATTGATTTCAGAGAGGAAGGGAGAGGGAGAGAGAGAAACATCCATGAGGAGAGAGATTCATGGACCGGCTGCCTCCTGCCCGCCCCCTACTGGGATCGAGCCTGCAACCCAGGCATGTGCCCTGACCGGAATCGAACCCGGGACCCTTCAGTTCACAGGCTGATGCTCTACCCACTGAGCCACACCAGCCAGGGCAGGCGCCCCAGGATTCTAAGTTCCCTGCCCTCCACCTCCCTCAGTCAGGAGTGGGGTCCACTCTGCACCACTGTCCTGCCCGGGCAGGAGAAATGGGGGGGCACCTCCTGTCGGAAAGACCCCGAGGGCAATGCAGACACCCCCCTCCACCCCCCCACCCCGTCAGACAGCGTCAGAGCCCCACAGCCTCAGAAATAGGCTTCCCTTCACCTGGGCGCTCCCCGCCCTGAGCCTGCGCCTGAGCCTGGGGGCTCAAGTTTCAATCCTCGACCTCCAGGATCTGGGGCAGTCACTGGGGAAACTGAGTCAGGACAAGCTGGGGTTTGCCCAGAAATGGGGCAGAAGGGCCCACAGCCAGCGCTGGAGCCGGACGCCCAGGGGCCCTGGAGTCAGCTCCTCACGCAGGACTCCCAGCCCAGCCCAGCCCAGGCCTCGGGGCTCCTGCCCACCCCAAGTCCCCAGGGAGCAGCCCTGTGCAGGCCGCACAGCCTGCAACCCAGCCTGGGGTCAGGCCTGGGCAGGCCCTGAAGGAGGAAGAAGAGGAGGAGGAGAGGAGCGGAGGGGGGGGGGGGGGCCTCCCCTGAGAAGAATGTGCTTGTCTGCCGGCCTGTCTGGCTCTGGGATCAGTCTAAGGTTTCAGCCACCAAAAAAGGCCCAGGAAGGAGAGGGCCACCCGCTGGCTGGGAGCTGCGGACGCTGCTTTGCTCAAACTGGTGTCCCCGAGGCCAGCAGGTCCCTGTGCCCTGGACAGCCCCTCAGAGATGGGGGAAGGGTACCCGTGCTCACCCCCGTTCTGAGGGGGAGGCCCCGGGGCGCTCCTGGTGGCCTGTGCCCTGGATGTGGCGTTGCATCCCGCAGAGCAGGGCGGGGCCATAGGGGTCGAGGGAGGAATCCACTCTCCCACCATACGCCTGTCCCCTCTGAGGTCAAGGTCACCCCACCTGTCCCCTCTGAGGTCAAGGTCACCCCACCTGTTCCCTCTCAGGTCAAGGTCACCCCACCTGTCCCCTCTAAGGTCAAGGTCACCCGGTCTGTCTCAGCTCCTTGGGGATCCCTCGGCTGGGCCGTCCCTCGCTGGGTGTTGCATTCAGCATGTCGGACACAAGTCAGTCCACCTGCCCCTGGCCCGGCGGCTGGTGAGACCCGCGAGGGAAGAGCACTGTGGGAGGTGGGAGGTGGGGGGGATCGTCCCCCAGGCCCCCTCGTCCAGGAAGT